TAAGACAGTTTTTTAAAAACAATTCAGAGTCTTCCCATTCAATAATCAGGAATTTAAGTAAATCAGGGTGAACTATATTTGCAGGACTTACTGTATGCAGCCAGCGTGACTTATTGACGTATGAAACTGCTCAATGACTTGTTCCTGTGTTTCTCAAATAGACCAAAGGCTCTAGATCAGCACAAAATTCAAAACATACAGCGCATGTTCATCGACTTCTCTTCTGCCAGAAAAGCTTGTTCTTAAAGGTTAATGAGCAAGACTCTGTTCAAGCCCTTGTGAAAATGTTGCTTCTGCACAGGATTATTGATCAAGCATTGGCCAAAGTGTCAGTTCACAACGCAAAGCCTGCCCCCTTTCTGCATCTCAAAACCCAAGCTTTAGATTTGAGCACATCTGATGAGTAGCAAAGCTGTCTTTGGCATGTGTGTGTATCATCGTGATGAAGGACTTGGGTCTTTACAAGCTGTTACTTCTGTTTGGTTTCCTATAGTTCAGTCCTCCAGCAAAAAGGTTCTAGTTTCGGCCTTTACAGTAACTGAGTGATTATTATTATCATCACACACTCATCCCATTCTGATATTTTTAACATTTGTTATACCGTTCATTAATAAAATAGTGCAAATCTTTTTTTTTAAATCAATTTCTCTTTTACAAAACTTTTGACATGTTTGGATCTTCTTGTCAGTAATTTCATCCCTGGAAGGGAGCAACATTGATTTAATTTCATTATTGTTTAATGAACTGTCTGCAGTCTGTATTGAGGCTATGAATTTCCCTCACTTCCATCCATACTTCATGCACTGAAAAACCCTTATTAATTTTCAATATAGTGCTATTGGAAAACATTCGGTTTTAAGCAATAAAGATTAGGATGTCAAAGCAACTGTGTGCCAAGGCTGAAGACATTGCATGTTCAGGATTTCTGCAGTGTAGCCCTAGGGCAAATATTTCATTTTGAGATGTAAGGTTTTATACAAATAGAATGCAAGCTACATTACAGCTTGTGGCTATTCCTATAAGCAAACTTTGCTTTACTAAGTTAGGAAACAAAGGAATTTTAAGAGGCTGAAGTGCTAGTTTAGCGAGTTTCCTACATTTAGAGTAAACAATTTGGTCCTGAAAAGGTTCGTCTTAAGGGGTGCAGAGGTTAGCATTGCTGCCTCACAGCATTGGAGTCCTGGGTTCAATTCCAGACCTGGAGAGCTCTCTCCGTGGCTGTTTCTATGTTCACGCTGTGTTTGCATGGGTTTCCTCCAGGTGCTCTGGTTTCCCCACAGTCCACAAACATACTAGTTTATTGGCTTCTGGGGAAATTGGTCCTGGTGTGAGTATGTGTCTCTGTGTGTGCCTTGTGATGGACTGGTGTCCCATTAGGATGTATCCTGCCTTGCGCCTGTTGCTTGCAAGGATAAGCTTTGGTCCCCCCGACTCTGGATTGGATGAAGGGTAGAGAAAATGGATGGATGGAAGATTCATTCGTCAGGGGGGGTGGGCAGATGGGATCAAGTCAGTGGCTCATAACCCAGTTCTATGTGATTTGGAAACCACACACAAGCCTGGACCCCCAGAGAAGTGAAACACCTCCCATTGTGGCTCCTGGCTGTGAATCCTGGCTCCACTGAACAAGGGGCTGAGGACACTCACGCCAGTTACTGCTCCATGCAAGGTTTTTTCTATAATGCCTCTTCCAAACAACAATATGTAGTGCTTACATGATGTTTTGTCCATTGTTATTTCTTAGATTCTAACCTTTTACTCTACACACAAAGGCTCTTGGACGCGCTTTCTTACCAGTAGACCAGATTGTTTTCCTCTTGCTGAAACCAGATGGAGCGTACCGAAAATAATTCACAACAGAACTGAAGCCATTCGCCACTTGAGGCCTAGACTGCACCCACATGCACAGCCTGGTGAACACCCTGTTCAACTCTTTGTGCATTGTTTTTGTTTGATCGTTCAACGTGCGGCTTTAGTCATTTTTCTCTCACGCCTCTGTCAGACGGTACCACTCAAAATTAAGGAAAACTCTCTTGCTGAATTCCTGCTATGCAAATGTTTAACAAATCATCTGCGAGGGCCTGTTCAATCAATATTCTCATCCCTCGCTGGCGACTCGGGCTTTATCATCTTTTTAATTAAAATTACACATCAGACCTGATACAGTCCCGGCACGATGGGCCTGAATCACACAGACTGCATCTTAACAAACCTGGAGCAACGCAATTTATTCGGTCCCTGCTGTGTAGCTGGGTAAAGACAGACGTGCAGATGAGGAGTGCTGAGGAAATGTGCCCTCAAGCTATGTTCTGACAGGTTGGCTGTCATTTTAAAGGGTGCTTAGCAGTTGTTCAGAAGACCTCTAATTAAAAACAGAAGTAGAAACAAACACTGGGAGCCCGGGGAGCTTGTAAACAAAAGCTGTTTCCAGATGCATTAGTTTTAAAAACACCACGCCTTGTGAAAATCCTTGCATTCTGCAGGGGCCTGATAAAATGCTGTTATTTAATTAACGGATGTTTCTAAGGAAGTCCAGTTCTACTCTCACTTGTCCGCGCTCTTGTGTATAAGTACTCGACGGCCACCCAAATGTCTGTACCCTACTTTTCTACACCCCTCCCTCCACCCCAAGTGCACCCTGGCAGCTGCCTCCCTGGTTTATTCCTCGTACAGTACCTGAGGGGGTTGTGACAGAGATGACCTTCGGCAAAGGGCTGTCCTTTCCTCAGCCAGGCGAGTTCAAGCCAGAGTATGACGTACGCTATCCCTTTACATTCATCATCTCATTTTGTCTTTATTAAAATTGGACCGAACTACTGAATGAGAAAAGACCCCATTTGCAAAGCTGTCTGGCTGTATTCAGCTGTGACACAGCCAGGTGTCCCACTGTTAGTGCTTATAAAGATAGATTGGGCCAGGGTGAGCCTAACAACGACAGGTGCCAAGCTGCGACCAGGACACAGCAGCATGTCCCTCTCTGGAATTTTATTTGTCTAGAACTGTAAGCCATAGCTGGTTGCCCCCTGTGCAGACTGTGACACTGAATTACTCTTGGCCAGCGCTGCTACATCACAGGCGGAACAGGGCGAGCACTTACTCAAGACATGGCTGTCAGGTTCATGGCCAACTACCAACAGCCAAGCGAGACAGATACCCTTCACATGACTTATTATCGTATCGCAGCTCAGAAAAAGTAAGCGGTATATCCACACGCTATACAGTATTAGCACAATACAACATCAAACCATCAGAAGCCACACATTCCAGCTTAATGTACATTTGGTGAAACTTTGTAAACACGATGGCAACTAAAAACACAGCTAATCTTCTGTTATTTGAAGTTTTCGTTAAACCCCACTTTGATATTTTTCATTCCTTTTTTTATTCATATTTCATTCCATATTTTCTTACAGGTTGGTCTGGGGTAGGGACTATTTAAATTTATTTAAACTCTCAGATATTAATTCACTTTCATCTTCTCACTACGATAGGTTGCTGTATTTTTGAAGTAGTGAGAGTTTTTTACATGTACTGTTTTTTATGTGTGAGATGCGATGCATACAGAAATTTACAGGAATATGAATTTTTGCAGATGCAGCACGAGGTGGATTCATGTGATTTTTTTAAAACCTTCCCGAAGAAGAGTTCTTGGCTATGTCTGCATCAGTTGTTAAACCTTGCAAATCCTTGATTTAGCACAGAAGGAGTACGTTTGAGACTTTTGAAATGTTTTCAATACAGGACAGACAGATTTTGCTTGTGCAAGACGTCAGCGCTGCAAACAGGAAGAGGTGTCAGACGTATTTGCAAATTAGCAAAAGTTACTGAAGGACAGAAGATCAGTTGAGGACCTTACATCTCATATTACAGGTTGGCCAACGGTCCAGCTGACACACTATTCCAGGGCTGTGAGAAGGCGGTGGGATGGTGTTAGGTGTTTGGTTGTGTTTGTGGGTTTCTAACTGGTTGTAGGTTCAAATTGTAAATGAGACACTGCTGTTCTGCTCTGGAGCAAAATTGGTCCAGTAAAACACCAGGCTATATACTGTATATGGTTGTAAATGTTAATTGCTTTGGAAAGTGTCAATCAAATTAATTATGTGTTATGATGGAATTTGCTGAAAACTTGCTGTGGTAGCAAGTGTGACTGAGGTCCATCTTTCCATCCACTGTCAGAAAGCAGAGTATTCCTGGTGATAAAGATCCTATCCTGGAAAGGCAAGGACCAGGACAGGATTACACCCTGGAAAGGACAACAGTCCATCACAGGACACAAGACAGGACCACACCCTGGACAGGGCAC